GTTTGAGAGAGGCGGGGCATAGAGGACCTACAATAATGTACAGTATTTGAAAAATAATGTGTTTTTTGAACATTAAAGCATGTCAACATATTCTGTTACACCAAATACACAAAATAATGATCTTTAAAATAGCATCATATGACCCCTTTAAGAATAGCATTATATATTTTGAAGTTGTGGAGCAAAATACTTAGAGATACTCAACATATCTTTAGCAGGGAGGGATGTCAAAAATACTTCAAATGCTTTATTCTGCTGAAAGAATGTTTTGGGGTATGGACAAGTATGCGTTGGGGTATGAATTGGTGACTATATCGATTACTACAGAAAATAATTTGGGCCTCTTTTTGACTCTCTTTTTGAAGCAAACACCATGCAGAATATAAAAAGAAGAGCGTAAATCAGGGGTCACCAAACTCGGTCCTGGAGGGCCGGTGTCCTGCAGAGTTTAGCTCCAACCCTAATCAAACACACCTGAACCAAGCTAATCAAGCTCTTACTAGGTATACTTGAAACTTCCAGGCAGGTGTGTTGAGGCAAGTTGGAGCTAAACTCTGCAGGACACTGGCCCTACAGGACAGAGTTTGGTGACCCCTGGCGTAAATGAACTAGGAGTGTTCAAACTTTTTGATGTTAAGGAACCCCAAATATGATCATCCCCTTGCGAGGATAAAATAAAAAGGCAGCTATATATTTCCATATATAAAGACCCATTTATACTGTGTGAGTATAAGCATGATATTATAATGATCACATATTATAAAATATATGTTGTTTTTAAAATTAAAGGATTTTTCTCAAATTATCCACCCTGAATGATCTTGTACCCTTTCAGGGTACCCCAGTTTAAAAACCCATGCTTTTAAACAACTTTACAATTCAATTAACAGACTTTCCCTTTTCAGAAAATTAAACACTTTTTATTATTTTTTAAAGGGGTCATGATGCTATTTTAAAGATCATTATTTTGTGTATTTGGTGCCTATATGCAGATGCATTCCAAATACATTCAACTTTTATTTTATCCCAGTTTCTCATCCAGTGTCTGTCTGGTAGAGATACCTGTTTAGCCTAGAGCCTAAATCCTCTGTCCTGTCCATCATTATCTCACCTTCATTCTCACTTTCTGCTTCTCCATTGTCTCTCTTTCTCTCACGCTCTGACAGCAGCTATCACTGAGCAACCCCTGGTTAAACCCCAGCCTCCCTGATGAGGTGCACACTTGTTTGCTTATCTTCGCTTTGCTAAGCGGCTTGAGTTTTAGGACACAACATGAATAGAACATGGTTGCTGCATTAATAATGAGGGAGTGAGCAGAGAGTGTTTGGCCGCTGAGTTTTGGCATGTTCCTCGCATTGTGTTAGCCAGGGTATTGGGAGCTTACGCGGACTGAATGCATTATGCCTAAGTCATTAGCAGCGCTAGCCCTTGCTATGCAGGGGCATAAGACAAGCCTCGACAACGCTAATGCCTCATCTCACTTGCCACCGCAGCATTTATTGAGAGCGAAACATCAATTATTGTACATTATTAATATATTTCAAAGGCCTGAATGTCAATGGTACCGTGCCTCTTAGTGAACCAGCGAAAGCTACTTACTCTTCTCCTGAGAGTTTGAGCATGTATGTTTGGACAAACTCAAGTATTTACTAATGCCTAAAAGTGTTTGAAAAGGGGATATTGACCTTTTTTGACAAAAAAAAATCAGCAAAGAGCACATTTCGTGCAGAACTATTAGCTAATTTAATAGCTTGCTTAAGTGTCACAGTCCAAGGCAGGTAAACAATGAACCCGATGACCCAAGTAGGGCTGACTGACAGCTAGAATTCAATTACAGTGATTTAGAAGAGAACTACGCTGCTCGGTCATCTCTCCAAAGGGTAAACTTGTGAGATCATAGCAGAACTTTTATTTAATGAGAAGATGTAGAGAATTCAGTCCTGATTGCGAATCTAAAGGAGACATGGTGGGTGGAAGGATTAGATGCTTTTGTAAGTTAGTAAAATTCGCTTTAATTCTTCACTGTGCTGTGAAAATATAAACAACTGCATCGAGAGAGAGAAAAAAAAAAACGGGTATCTGTCAAGGCTTTGAAAGACATCAAGGCCTTGCTTTTATTATATCTAACTGACAGTCTAGAGGGTCACGGTTTTATTTACAAGATGCAGAGAAAGGTGCCTACATGGATATCATTTACTTTTATGCAAAAACCATAGTGTGCTCTTTGGCTGATGTTTTACATGATATTTCAATCAGATTTTGACAGATACACAGAAATATTCCCTTAGAATTTATCTTAATAGTGTGACCACTGTGTTGTAAGGGCAGCAAGAAATCCTATTTCTCACCGGCAAAGTTCATCCTCTTCATGAATTCTCTTTTCATAAGTTGATGAACTTCTGTTTTCCCATTGTCCTTCAAAAAATTTAATTACTTTGTTTTAATACTTTTATAAATAATGCGTAGATTTGCCATAGCAGTAGGATCAACTTTGTATAAAACGATTAGATTAAGAATTCTCATTTCTGGACTTAAAGTATTGAAAGGGGATTATTCTTAAGAATTTGTGCGGTCTTATCCACAGTCTTACTGTACTTACAGGCAAAGAAGTCCCTCTGAGAAGTTTAGTAGAAGTAGAAGTGTTAGAAGTCTGACCTTTTGAAGTACGCCATTGATTGCATTGATTTTAGAGAGTCTGCTCCATGGTAAGTGGAGGGAGAATGGAAGCAAAAATCAAAGAGTTAACGCCTCTTAAGAGTGTGTTGACCACAAAGTGCTGATATACAAAGATGTCGCACTCTGGCCATTTGCACAGCTTCAATGAAATCTGAAAGAAATCCTCCTGTAGCCCTTGAGAAACACTGAGACTAAACTCAAGCTAATTGGCCCATAAGTCTCCCGCTCTGACTTGCGCGTTGATACACCTATGGTACATCGGACGTCAATCCGCACCATGTACCTTTCACACTGTGAAAACAAATGAGCCGGGTCCAATCTGACTGCATTTGTTTGTAGCCTGTTTTTGTGGTTTCTGGGGCTAATTTTGAGTTGATGTGCTCGCAAAGACGCAGGGGACCAGACAAACACAACATTTTTATGCAAGCGCAAGATGGCCATGATAGGTAATTACTGAATTGCTTTAATAGAGAACGGTTGCTGGCAGGCAAGTATTGTACTTGGCAATTGTAAACACCTGTCAAAGTGGCTGTGAGGGAAGACCTAGGTGGCCCACGCCTCCAGAATTTAGACTTCATTAATTGAAACCTGCAGGTTGCTACTTCACATGCTGAGACGGACACCTGCTGCAGGAATGAGACTTTTGAAGGCTCATTAGTTTGCTATACTGAAAATACTGAATACTGCTTGCTATACTGAAAACTGAAAGTGCACACCAGGAGCCTCAAACATCTTAACTACTGCCATACTTCAGTTTGTATAATTAGATACACATATGAGATGTGATGTCACGCCGCATGATCTGCTAGGGTAGAAGAATGAATAATAAACTAAGCAAAATATAACCTAATCTCTTGCAGGAGACGAAAACACACCGGGTTGGTTCTCTGCAGAGGATGATGGGAAGACAAAAGCTCCGTTTTGGTGTCCACTGCTGGCCTGTCGCATGCCTGTCTTTACCTCCAAAGCCCAGGAATGGAAGGTGAGAGACTTTCAGTTACAAAAAGCATAATTTTTCTGCTTTGAGGTCGAACGGCTAATCAGAAACTTCCCTTAAGCAGAAAAAAAAGTTTATAGTTCTTTTCCTGAAGACAAAGTACTTTTAGAAACTGTTGTATACCATGCAATCATTTTTTTTTTAGCTAGGAAATTAAGTCTCGCAGAAGCAACCTCCACAGACAGAGTCTGACCATGGGATGATCTTACAGGAACATTGCCAGGATTGTGGGAATTACAAGGTGACATGGAAGCTTTCCAGTCACACTAGTAGGAGAGGGAGGTTGTGGATCAATAGGAGCTGTTAAGAACGGCAAGCTCCTCGTATATCAAATGGTGAACTCGGGTAAGAGACAGACTAAAATGGCTTCAGAGTCAGTCAAAAAGGAATGAAATCAATTTTACTGTCTGGAAGATGATATTTCAGGCTAGATTTTAAGACCTAACGAAGTTAGGTGACTTACCCCTGAATGGTGAATCTAGGTGCCAAATTACCACAGTCGCCATGTGAGGGTGTTATAAAGTGATCATGCAATTACGGCAATGACTGTGGGACACCTGAGAGTAAATCAATAAGGCTGCATTAAATTAAGCTTATTGCAACCCAATAGATGGGAAGTCAAGGCTGTTGGTGAAATGGCTCGATCATTTTCTGCAACAGCTTGGAGCTCTGACAAACAGATCGACGGTATACTTTTTCCACATCATTGCTTTCCACAGCTGCTCAGGAGTTTTTTTTTAACTGTTAAGCTCTCTCTTGGCTCAAACTCTAGGGTGCCATTGCTTTGTGAAAACCTGCTGCAGTGTTTCAGTCACCTTTAACAAGAATTGTTATCTGGGTTGGGGCAAATTGCTTTGTGCTCTCAAAGGCTATGAGCAAAGTTCCTGGAAAACCTAGAAATATTTTTTCTTTTCTAGTTTTACTCATTTTTTTTTTTTACCTATAAACACTTTTTGTGACATCTCTGTAAAATTCGTTTTAAAAACTTCTTGTCCGGTTTGGGGGAAAATTCCTGGAAGGGTAATGGAAAATCATAGAAATTCATCCAAAAGTATCAGAACCCTGTTTGAAATATTTGAGCACAATCCTGCCACCAAATATATAAGATCATAATGCCATCTAATGGTAGTATGAATTTGGTCTGGTTATGCATGGGTGTCTTTAGAAATGGCTTTTGTATCCATGTTGTTGAAAAGCAGCAGTTCCTTGTAGAGGTGAGATGGGTTTAAAGTGAATGACTTTAAGTTCTCCTGGCAGAGACATCTTCTGTTTTACATAGTCAGCATATATCCAGCCTTGTTCCTCAACTGCCACTACCGCTGGGCAGCATGTGTTGGCCAGTGCCAAGGCCTCCAAAACATCTTACTTTTAGGTTTTGGCAGGTGATGCGCTTGGCAGAACAGTCATTGGTGCAGGGATTGGAACGGGGGGCACTTGAAGACCAAGATCAAAAGAGAAAAGCCGTTGGGGGACTTGCTCATCTCCAGTAATAAAATAGAAGTTCTGTAGCATCGCACCATGAACAACTGATCTGCACACACAGTTCTGCCATTTTTGTAAAAGCCTGGTGGGTGGACTTGTTAGGCAGAGGAGATAACTGTTATCAGGTCTTTCACTTCTGACGCGGATCAGTGGGGTCTCTCTGTCCCACCCCTAACCAGTCCACCAGGCAATATCTGACCCACTTCTAAGCCTTGCAAAAATCCTATAATACCGCACAAACAGGCACTCATTGTTCCTGAAATGCAATACTGAGTCAAGACAAGTGCTGTTCAAATGCATATACTTGCATTTATTGAGGCCTAATCTGTATTATAATGTTAAACTTTCCTAGTTTTAACTATGGCCAGTCAGATTATATATCCATCTTCATGTTTCATTTTGTTGACTCTTTAGACATTTATTTTCCCCCTTGCGGATAGTTGAGAGATACCGAGGTAAAGAAAAGGGGTTAATGGGTTTGAAAAACAACACAAGCAAGATTCAAACTTGCATGTGGGTTAGCATGTGCTCTAACTTTAAAGCTGAATTTTTTGCTTTGCAAAGTGTAACTTGCAGGATTATGTGTTCCTGGAGATTTGTAGTTTGGTTTTATCTCGTTAAAGAAGCCTTAACATGCTAAAAACCCTCCACTAAAAATCTACTTCAGCTGTAAAAGCTGTACGCTAGAAGTGCTGAGAAGTATAAAGATGTCTCGTGGGAAGGAAAAAAAAATATTTTCCCGATGAAGCATTAGGATGGAGAGAAGATGGCTCTTATTTGAGAGTGTTTTTTAATACCGTGGAGATTCCATACCGGGTGCCTTGAAGTGTGGGAAGACAAGCTGGAAAAAGGATTTATTTTTTTTTATGTATCAGGTTTGGCTGTTTTCTTTTTTGGGATTAACACAAGGGGGAAAAATGGAGGAGAAATGTTTTCTAAATCTCTTTCATAGTACTTAACCTAACCACATGTCGTGGTTCTGTCCAATGAAGCGTAATTACTAAAAACTAGGGCCTTTAGCTTATTGTTGTGGATATGTGCCCAGTGTAACGTCCCTCTATGGATGCCATATATATATATATACAGTGGTGTGAAAAAGTGTTGGCCCCCTTCCTAAGAGATATAATGTTCCAGCAAGTCTGCCTGATCAATTACCAAAGATGCATGTCAAAATTATTCAGGAAAATAAGATTTCTTATCAATAGATTTCTTATCAAGTGATAAAACGTTGTTTTGCAAAAGTAAGTACACCCTCCTAAAAGTTACTAAATAAAAATGTTCTGGTATAAGTTTAAGGCAAATTTTGATCAACAGGTAAGTATGCTGAACTAAAACATTTAAAGAGAGCCATTTCTTGACAATTAAACGTGTTTTAAAGCAAACAGAATAATTTTCAGACTTAATGCTAACTACAATGGAACCACATGGGAGAGAACTGTCAGAAGACTTATCTTATTGTTGTTCGTTGTTGAATTATGCTCCCTACTGTTTTAATGGGAGGTAGCAAAATCTGACGGGGTCGCACAAATCGTCAGAACACCGGCAAAAGCTATGAAAAAAGTGACTGTTTATCTCACAGTGTAAGATACATCCTGCAGAAGTGACATGCATGGTTGTTGCCCACACTGGAACTACCTACTGTAGGCAAAGCACAATAAACTCCTGTAGCATTTTCCAAGGCCAAAATTTACAAAATATAGACCTCTGGGATTCCATACTCTGCTCTCATGAGACCAAGTCAATCATTTCACACTTAACAGCATCCAAAATGTTATGATGTTGCTAGAGGAGGAGTACAGTGAGAAGTGTTTAGTACATTTCAATTTTGCAATCTTTCCATCAGTTGTATTAGTGATCATTAAGAAAATACATCTTTAATTATTTAGAGGGGGTGTACCCATTTATGCTGTGCACTGTAAAGAGCTGTCAATTGAAAATGTTAATCTAATAATTAGTTATGGAAAAAAAATAACATGTTAAAAAATGTTTACGCAATTAACGCAAATATTACCTATTAAAGCCACAGCAGAACTGTTGTGCGTCTCCAAGGAAAACACAATTTCAGAATCAGAATGAGCTTTTATTCGCCAAGTGTGGTGTGCTGTTATTACAGATCGTTTGATATGTACTGAGTATTTATGCGTTTTTAACCTATATCACAGCAGCGTCCATCTTTGAAGGATGTAGTCTGTCAAACATACTGACAAACAAACTGTTAGCCAATCATAGAAGTGGGCGTTTACTTCTGAGTCTACAATCCACCACACCTATTCAAACAGAGCGTTCTGATATGGGGGGGTCAAAACAGGACAGAAAATAACCTATTACTTCTAAATTATGACGTATGTTGATGTAAAAAAAACTTGATAACATTAAAAGTGGACCTCAAAGAACAGTACAAAATAATATGACATGACCCTTTTAAAGGCTGAATAATTACAAATGAGCTCCGTTATTTTCACAGGAAAAAAAAAAATTACATGTAGTGCATCAGTTCTACGTGGTATGTAAGACTCTTTCGCTCTCTCTCTCTTTGTGTGTGAAAGAGAAACACAGAGCACTCTCAGATAAGCAACGGCGAGTCGGGCACCTAAACACTTTAGTTTAGGGTGCATCAACTATTCTGCGCATCCATTGAGATAAATTGGAATAATGTGCTTTAAAGACGGCGAGCGAAACTCTCATGCACTCAGTCAGAGTGTTCAAGACGAGTGAAGGCGGGTGAAAAAATATCTGCAAAACTTATACTTTAACTCAAACACTGGCGAGTAAAATCGAACTATTTATTAGCCAATGGCTAATGATAGACATTATAATCGCCTAACATGAACATTTAGTCGCATATGTGAGTGGTTTACTCGTATTGTAGAGGGTTGCTTATTTTTTTTTAATTTTTTTTGCAGTTTAAATGCTATTTTTGTAACTCATGGTTGTGTTTTGATCGTCAATAGCCACTCAAGTTATTAAAAGCATCTTTCAGGCTTTAAGAAATAAGCTTCGCATCACTGATCCTTAAGCACAAACCACCATAGCTTGTTTGCATGCAGATTTTTTTCCAATTTGCTGGCCATGTGTTGTGCCAGTGAAGTGTAGAATACAGAATGCATTCTTCCACAGTAAAATGTTCTGTACTGACCAGCAACCAGGATGTTTTTGAGGTTCATAAATGTATTATTATTTATATTATGCTTATTATAGGCCTAGACTACAAGCTGTATATAACGCACAATATATCCATAATATTATAAAATTATAAATTCATTTAAAAATTGAAAATGTATTACATTATAGTAGTATAATTTAAATGATAAATGTAATGAATTATTATTATTATTTGTTTTTGTAATTTATGTTTTTATGTATGTACTGTATGTAAATATTAGGGCTGTGTATCACCAGCAAAGTCACGATACGATACGTATCACGATACAGAGGCCCCGATACGATACGTATCACGATACGGGACTGCACTGAATTTCACCTCAGAAGAATTTATAAAAACA